GCTGGATTGGAGGCCTTTCGATATGTCAGGGGCAAATAATCAATTCGAGATTAATGAAGTGCGCGGACCATTTGACTTTTGTGTACTGAAATGGCTTTTCGATCATCTCGTTCAACATTTCTGGAAATCCTCTCGCAACGCGTTTGATATTTAAACCAGGAAACCAAGAAGGGAGGTACAAAACTACGAAAAATTGGCGTTATGGAATATTTGTGATCGAGTTTTGAGTAGGCTTACGAAAGGGCCAGGACGTCAGGATCGCGGAGGCTTCGGGAGTGAACGCCTTCATCGTTATGTCATTGACGTTCTCGACAAGGGAAACTAGGGGATCATCGCGACGCTCTGCCTCATACCCATATGTAATTGAAATTATAATAGAGGCGGCCATTCTGACAAAAGAAATTGCGAGGGGTAATTCAACTGGTTAAATGTGTTCCTGTGGGTGACTCACGTCTCTGTGTGGCGCACAAAATCCTCGGGCGCTTCAAGCATGTCAACCAAGAGCTCATGGATTTTGCGCATCTGTAAAGGGCGGTAGGAAAGAGCCGCAGACGACCGTAAACTTTGATGATAAAATCGCCTGTGTTGTCTCCATGTATTTCCGTAGCGCATCAGCCCTGCACTATGGAGCGACCAGCCAAGTCTGTAGAATTCATTAGAGGGATGATTAACATACTACGAATTACACTGACAGCTCTGTTGTGAGGAGGGCAGGTCTATCTGAATAGTTGTATGATCTTTTTTCGAGAAGGTCTCTTGCTATTTGCTCAGAGTTGATAACGATGACGTGTTGTTGAAAAAGGCGGTAGTGTATGATTTCGCCTTCCGAGTCAACGAGAAAGTAAGCAGTCAGGTGTGGGAGAACAACAACATAACTAGAACGAGTGTACCGTAGGTCTTGCCCCATTTCTCATAGGTAATCCACGGTGCAGTAGAGTTGATTTCGAGTGCGTTACCCACGATAGGAAGCGATGAAGGGCCTGGAGGAAAAGACAACGAATTCTTGCCTCCTCGTCTCCGGGCAAGATGCCTTGTAGACTCCAACAGCACAACAACCAAGAGAGCCAGAACAAGACAAGGTGTACTCAAACTTTCAAACATGATTTAGGTGGTTGGAGGGATTTCGAGTTAACAGACATGAGTGTGTGTTATATGCACACCGTTACTATCAGGGTCAGATCAGCTGCACGTACCCTCAGGCTGGTTCATACTTCCCCATGATCTGATCCTTGTTTGACGGAATTTTTATGCGTGGTGCTATTGGAGACGGAGCTCCCAGCGATTTGGAGAGGGTGTGATGGATTGTCACAACATTCTCCACAGAAAGCCTCAGATAGGCATTGAATGTACTGCCTTTTGCAGTAATAATAGCGTCAGCCAATGATAGAAAATACGCTATCAGGTGAGGATGTGCTAACTGTGACTCGTGCCTCTGATGACATTTAGCGGTCCCACTAAAGTGATTAGACTTGTGGCTTCGGAACTTGTACAGACAGTACACTGTGGCTTGAAAGGTCCATATCAACTTATAGTTATTTTTACGAGTGAACAACGTTGGTGATAAACTGACCTCTATCACTTGGCTCCTTCACAAAACCAGGAAATTTCAAAGAATGATCAGGGTACTAGGAGAACCACGCATACACCTCACAAAGAAGACTTCTGAGTCTCGTTATCATATGCCACATTAGTATACGTTGCACAACCAAAACCCTTCAAGTTGTCGGAGTGTATTGACAGACAAATACTATTATCGGTTAGGTCCTAGAGTTAATAACATACTATGTCACGAGTACTTTTATCCGCTCCATTGTTTTTGGACCGAATAGGGGATCCCACGACAAGGACGGAATGTTCTAAGAAAGGGGCATATAGGCGGTGCGAGAAGACCTAGATTTCACTTGACCTCGTCAGAATGATATCAACTGTATGTCGGAAAAATCCATTTTACCGGATCAGATCTTACAAATGTCTGTAGCGTTCCTGAACGATCTGATGGTCTGAGCTGTCGCAGACCAGAACCTGATCAGAATCGAAACAGAAAATGATCGGGCTGATCAGCTGAAATAAAAAAGTAAGAGACTCAGATTGTTTCTGGCCAGACACAATCTGAGTGTAAGAGAGTATGAGTGGGTCAAGATAGATGGAATCAGGAAGGCTCTGTTTGAAAGTTTGAGATTTGGATCAAGGTATTTACTATTAGTATCACAACACAATGGGATCCACACCCGTGTACAGTGATTCTGGACCTTCTGGGCATGCAACCAATCAGTATGCTTTCCAAGTACGCCTTGGTAGCTTAGTTGGTAAAGCACCAGACCATGAAAGCTGGAGTCCCAGGTTCAAGCCCTGGCCAATGCATGTTTTCTCATACTATAAAACAAATGTCATAATTTGTCAATTAGAAACAGTGTAGTCATTAATTTCCAAAACGTAGGAACATATCATTGTCAACTAAGTCATTCAAATAAAATTGTCCTTCCTTCAAATTGAAAGCCCTGATCATATGAGCCCCCCAAACTAAGTATTTAGCCATCACCAGCTCAAAGTCTTTGGCTTCAACATACAAACGAGCACCTGACCATCTAGTCCTCGGATTTCCATCTGATAGCCTGAACATCTTGACTAACGCAATGTCGAATGAAGAGCACTGGGTGAAACATCGACAGATGCTTTGGAGTCGAGCGGGAGTTGGCTCCGGAGTGTCTGTATTTACCAGAACACAGTCAAAGCGCGGTGTGACGTTTGCGTGACGCTAACGCCCCAAGTTCGAGCTTTTTTTAGCTATAACTGGTATAAGTCTAGTCATTTCAAGCTGCTGTACACCTATGTGACACCAAAAATCTTACTAATTAGTAAATGGGCTGTAGCGTGATCTCCTCACTAATTAGGCGGCTCAATCCTAGCTGCAGCACTCAAGAGTAGACTGTAGGTTGACAATATAGTGCGTGGTCCTAACCCTAGCTGAGACTTAAGTAATTCCTTCTCACGTTTCGCTCGGACCGTGTTCAGTGTCTCCATCGTTACCTATACATGTGTGCTCATCGTCGACAACGACAAGCACAACATTTCACTCAAAAACTGTCAAATTTTGACCATTTTTTTTCCTTGTCAGTTCGTAGTTTAATTGTATACTCTCCGTGCTATAGAACTACCATATAGAACTACCAAACAACGCTATGTGTTGACTGGTCTGTGCACGTCTGCTGGCCGCTCCCTTAAATTCTAACTCCGACTTTCTTGCTAGCCCCGCCCCGGACCTACCCAAAAACTCCTCGCAAATATTCTCATGCCTTATCATCCCCATCATTGTCGTCTCAACACCGTCTGCATAGTCCTCTTCTTGCTGTTTGCTGTGAACTCATCCTTACTCCGATCACATCAACATCTCAGTACCTCAATCCTTGATTATTCAGAGCATTTATGAGCCGCAAGAAGTATTCTTTTCTCACCTCTTCTTATATCCATATGATGAGCTTGCGTGACAGTGGGCTGTGACATGTTACTTGGTCGACCCTCACAAAAATTCATCAAGACCAAGTTGAATTTGAACACCGCCGTTGAGAGGAGCTCAAAAGTAAGTAAGCCTTTTATCCCCGGCTAGTCAGTGCATAGTTCAGCATATTCTAGGTAGAAATCAACCTTATCACAAAATGCTCTCAGAAATTGCGCAAAATATTGGTGTTCCTGCTGAGACACTCGAGGAGCATGGTATGTATGATTCGTATATGACAAAGCATAAGTGCGAAGGTGAATAGTTGTCATGATTCAAGTATCATGTGATGATTCACTATCTGACTGTACAGTTGCTGTGCTTGTTACCACAGTCTTGTTTTTACGAGTGGCTCTCCTGTCTCTGTAAACAACATCTCCATTTCTCTGCCTTTCTGCAGTATGTATCTTCCGAGCCTCCACCTCTTCGGTAGTCAGTTTTACCCACCTGCACTGTTGACTTTGCAGCGCTGAAACCAATTTTTTGACTTCCTTCCTACCACCTATCTTACTTGGATTACACATCTTTGGGAAAGGCCATCCCTTAAGTTTGACACCACATTTCTCTACAATTTTTCTCTCGTAGTTGTTATAATTCATTTGTACGGATGATGCAATATGATCTTCATCAGCAATCAAATCTATATTCAATTAGCTGATGTAGTGATACAGATAAATGACCCACCAAGACCATCTTGGATAAGTCTTTGACACTGACTGATCAAGTTGTTGAGTGGTCGAGCATGGTTTGCTGTTGAGATGTTGTCTAGTAGTAATATCACAATTAGCCCACATCAACGACAATTATAAAGGGACAATACCTAATCCGCTGACAGTCCAAGCCTCAAGTTTCAGTGCTTAGCGGCACAGATCAAGATCCAATGCATGTTGGATAAACAATTCTGCTTTTTGGGTGAAAAACATCTTCGGTTCGGAAAACTGCTCAATACCACCCCAAACAGCAACATAAAAACCTTCAGTGCCGGTGCGCTTGCAGATAGATGTCCACTAAAATATGCTATCAATGTAAAATAAAAATACTTTTTTGATGGTTGCTTACTTCGCGGTCCATAGCGGTGAAAGTTGCATTGACATCTTGCAGGATTGCCTTCGGATTTGTATGCTTGGCTTGTAGTTTTGCACTTTGTATATCAAGGATCTGTAGTTAAAGTTGTTGTTGTTCTGCAGTGGTTAGCTTCTTGTATTGTTTTAATAGGCTTCTGTTTTTTGCAATGAAATCAGTAAGTCGATAATGATCTCCATGCTCACGACCTTGTAATAATATCAATAGTAATGAGTTAGTTGGATTGTGAGAAGTATACTTACCGTTGTTTGCAGCATGTAGCTGTTGTCGGATAAATGCATTCCATACATTGGGACAACGATGCTGTCTTGTGATTTGACTGCCTGTGTATAACTGTGAATTTGTCCACTTTAATGACCTAGTAGTTTATGGTGAGTTTTTGTATGGTTTTAAAAGTAGTAAACAATATGTACCGTCCATGCTTTTGAGCAATTTCATTGGCTTCTTGCTCGTATCCCTCCTGGGCAGTGACTATATCATTTGTTAGCTCTACAAAACGTTCACGGTGATGTTTTTTTTGTGCATCAGTGAGCTTTGGTTTATGCCGTTGTATACGAGGCGCTGTAGTGGGAGCCATACAAACAGAAGATATATTTGCTAACCATTCAATTTGTAGTGTACATGTTACGATAACACAATTTCCGGACATCTCCTTTCCTTTTTATTCTCCGCTTTAACTTTATACTTTAAGTGCCACGCGGCATTTCCCTTTCTCGCGCCGTGTTGCCTTTCTTTTACTTTTAGACTTAACTCTCTCACGCAGTGGAGCTGGCCATACGGGCTAGGCCCTATGACATCATCAGCCACTGCCTTCATCAACTGTATAGTACACATGTACAAACAAACCTGTAGTAGTATATATACCCCAATAGATCCAGGAGACTCCTCAGCGAGTCCTCCTGTTGTATACCAACTAACTCACTGCAGCCCAAGGGGTACCCACTCCCCATCTTCCACTACCTTTATAGTGTGTTCCTGTGTGCGCCAGAGTAACTAACTCTTGGTTGTTACATTAGGACTTGCTCTTTCTACTCTCTCGCACGTGTGTGCAGAAGTCCCATCATTTGGGCACCCGGACTCCAGGGTGAAGGAAATTGGTTAGCGGTTAGGAATATCCCACATAGCAGATAGGTGCGCTCCTAGCAACGGCCTTGTAGTGCTTTGGGAGAAGAACCCAAAACCTTTGATACGCGGCCCCCAGCGTTAAGGGGAGTACCTTAGCTCAGCAGTCGGTGTGGAACCACTGTTGATTAGATTTAAAATACAAACTTTCACTTTTGAATACCTCTGACCAGGCCGGGCACTTGCCTCCGCCAGTCTGGAGAAGGGTTGACAGCTTAACAAGCGGACCACCCCCTGACAACCGTTCGGACCAGGGTTTATTACGTTTACATTTTTATATACTTTTTCAAATACTATAGTGTGGGTAGTCGGAGATTGAGATCCGATACTCAGCTGGGAAGAGGTTGATCCGCAGATAGCAAGCGGGGACCCCCAGTTACCTATTTTTACGTTACCCAAAGAGAACAAGTCGACATGTCGTCGCAAGATATGAATGCGCTACTGCACGCAATGCGTGTGCAGATAGCGGAATTAACCTCGCAGCTCGCCGAGATACAGGCCAACCCCCCTGTAGCAACCCCCTCGGTAGAGAAAAAGTTTAACAAGAAAGTCGAATTCGTCGCTGACCCTGGCGCCTTCGAAGGAGACCGAGCGTGATTTGCCGAATGGTGGATCAAGCTCCAGATTTGGGTCAAGGCGAACTGGGACGCTTTCGCCGACGATTTTGAGGTAGCCACTGCGGTGCTATCTCGCCTAAAAGGACCTGTGGCGGGTCAATACGCCCAAGTAAGACTCCAGGAATGCTACACCGCGGGTGTGTGGCCTACCTGGGACGATCTCAAGAAAGAGATTGAAAAATATTTCAAACCGCAAGCTGAGCGAGACTGGGCGCGTCAGCAAATCCGTTCCTTCAAACAAGGAAACATGAGGACGGATGATTATGTCACCCGGTTCCTGGCCCTCTCCATCCAAGGAGGGTTAGGTAACGAACACGCAGTAGAACTGCTGGAACGCAATGTGAACCCTCGCATTGCAGAGCAGATCTACCTGCAGGATACAAGAAGTGACGACCTGGCTCTAGCAGCCGAGGAAGTCCGACGAGTCGGTAGGGCCATGGAGCTCTACGCTATGCACCAAGGTGGCGGGTCCACCAAACAAACCACCACACCCCAGAGGCGCCCTGGGTCATCAAACCAACATCATAATCACTCTCACGGGTTCAAGCCGTTCGGGCTGCAGCCAGGACAGGGTGCTCCTATGGATATCGGCGCGGTCCAAGGCGGACAAATGCGCAGATTCAAGGGCAACTGTTACAACTGCGGCCAAGAGGGACACATGTCCTGAGACTGTAGAAACGGGGCGCAGGCTGCCCAACAAAAAAATAATCAAGGGCGACAAGCGCGCCAACTAGAAATCGAAAAGCCGGACAATCGGCTCAACTCTTTGGCCGGTCGTTCTTACGACGAAATCCGGGCCTTCTTCTATGACCAACAGGTCAACAAAATGAAGGCTCAGGGAAAAGAATTCGGGGCTTAGGTCACTTGGGTACCTTAGCTCCTGGTAAAAATGAAGTAAACCACAACAAAGTGGCCCCTGCTCCGGGGTGTTGCACGAGCAATAACGGAATGACGGGGATGGCTCCCCAATTTGTAAATAAGTTTTTAAATTTGTTATCAGAAGTATGTACTTGTATGAAGAAATGTAACTGTAATATTTATGATACTACCGCTGCACCAGCGTCTCCCTTGGAGCGTGGCCCCGGCGAGACAAACACTAGGGTGCTTGATTCTGGTAAAACAAAAATAGAAAAACATGTGTCATTCAAAATTTCTTCTTCTTCTTCTTCTTCTTCTTCGGAGCCACCCTTTCCCGAAATCCCAAGGCGTGTGTTGATGCGCACGTATTTATTCCAAAAGGAGATCCGTTTAGACGTTGGCGTGGAAAACCTTGCCAGGGGCAAAGTACACTCAACGAGCGCACTGCTTGATTCAGGCGCTAACGGGATCTTCATAGATCAGGTCTGGGCAGAGCGAATTGGACTCCCCCTTGTAAAATTAGAAACGTCTATTCCCGTCTATAACATTGACGGTACGCTTAACGCAGGTGGCTGTATTACACACAAATGTTCTTTTGTGGTCGAATACCAAGGACACAGAGAACGAGTCACTGCCGAGACTACCCAACTAGGGAAGATTAATTTAATCTTAGGCTGGACCTGGCTATTTAAACACAATCCTGAGATCAACTGGCAGACAGGGGTTGTCACATTGTCACGTTGTCCCCAGGAATGTGTAAACTTGGGTAAACCAAATCATGTCCGTCACAATGAGCGTCTCGAAAAGTTAAACGCTAGTCACGTTTACGAGCTCAGATCTTTAGAAAAGATCGACGATAACGATGATGAGGTAAAACCTGAGGAAGAGATTAAGAGGCTGGTACCTCCCGAGTACCACAACTTCTGGAAAGTCTTTTCAAAACACAAATCAGAGCGCTTCCCAGAGGCTAAGCCTTGGGACCATGCTATAGATTTGAAAGACACCTTCAAACCAAGGAAGGGACACATGATACCGCTCTCTGCTCCCAAAAGAGACGAGGTATCTAGTTTCATAGACGAACAACTTAGGAAGGGTTACATCAGACCTTCCAAAAGTCCTATGACGTCCCCGGTGTTCTTCATTCCTAAAAAGGATGGTAAAAAGCGAATGATTATGGACTATCGTTACGTGAATGAGCACACAGTTAAAAATGCGTATCCGCTGCCTTTGATTAGTCAGCTGGTGGACAAATTGGCTGGCGCCAAAATCCTGACAAAGATGGATCTCAGATGGGGGTACAACAATGTACGAATCAAAGAGGAAGATGCTTGGAAGGCCGCATTCACGTGCCACCGAGGATCTTTCGAACCCCTTGTTATGTTCTTTGGGTTGACCAATTCACCGGCGACCTTCCAGAGCATGATGAACGAGATCTTTGCGGATATGGAAAACTGTGTCGTCATTTACATTGACGATTTATTAATATTTACAAAGTCGGACGATGAGGCTGAGCATGACAGGATCGTGCAAGAAGTCCTTCGACGCTTACAGGAACGGGACCTATTCGTTAAACCCGAAAAATGTAATTTTAAAGTAAAGGAAGTAGACTTCCTCGGTATGATCATAGGCCAGAACGGAATCAGGATGAACCCTGAGAAAGTTCAAGCTATTTTGGAATGGCCAGAACCTACTCGCGTCAAAGGAGTTAGGGCTTTCCTAGGCTTAGGTAATTTCTACCGAAGGTTTATTGAAAACTTTGCAAAAATCACGAGACCGTTGAACGATCTCACCAAAAAGGACCTTGTTTGGCAGTGGGGCGCCAAAGAACAGGAAGCTTTTGATAAACTTAAACAGGCATTTACAACAGCACCCATATTGGCATTCCCTGAATTAGACGAAGAGTTCCGGCTAGAAACCGACTCTTCTGACTTCGCCACTGGGGCTGTTCTATCAATCAAATGCCCTGATGATCTTTGGAGGCCTTGTGCCTATTTATCACATAGTTTGTCGCCTACAGAGCGCAACTATCAAATATACGACAAAGAGATGCTGGCCATCATTAGAGCTTTAGAGCACTGGCACTACTTAGAAGGTGCTAGGCACCAATTCGAAATTTGGACCGATCATAAGAACCTAGAGTACTTCATGACGGCCCGAGACCTGAACCGGAGACAAGCCCGCTACGCGGTGTACTTGTCAAGGTTCAATTATAAATTAATTCATAAGCCAGGAAGCTCAATGGGGAAAGCGGATGCTTTATCTAGAAGAGAGGATCATGCCAACGGCATTGAAGATGACAACAAAGGTGTCACCCTGATAGATCAATCAAGGGTTGCCAATGTTAGAATCGGGCAAGATTCTGCTCTCCTAGAAGTCTTCAGGAAAGACATCTCCCCAGAGGAAAAGGCACGCCTTGACGGCAATGAAAACTATTTATGGAAAGACGGGCTCTTTTATTTCAAAAACAAAATCTATGTGCCTGAGTCCGCAAGGATCAAGGCAATAGATAGACATCATGACACTCCAGTGGCTGGGCACCCTGGATGGCAACGTACGATGGAGTTGATCTCCAGAAACTACATGTGGCCGGGCATGGTCAAAGACATACAGGAATACGTAAAATCCTGTCTGAGATGCGCCATGGCCAAGAATTCCCATCAACCGCCGGCGGGTAAACTCATGCCGAACCCGATACCAGCTGGCCCCTGGCAGGATATATTGGTGGACTTCACGACGGATCTGCCCGAGTCAAACGGGTACGATTCAGTAATGGTGGTAGTAGACCGCTTCTCCAAAGAAGTGGTATTCATACCCACCAACAAAACCATCACCGCCGCCGGTACGGCAGACCTATTTAAAGATTTTGTATGGTCAATCCATGGGTTACCAGAAACAGTAATCTCCGATAGAGGACCGCAATTCGCTAGCGAGTTTACGAAAGAATTGTGCCGGATGCTGGGCATCAAACCTAAATTATCCACGGCGTTCCATCCGCAAACCGATGGACAAACGGAGAGACTCAACCAGGAGTTGAAACAGTATCTCCAGATATTTATTAACGACAGACAGACAGATTGGGCCAAGTGGCTAAAGATAGCCCAGTTCTCTTATAATATTAAACAGTCGTCGGCTACAGGAAAGGCACCATTCGAGGTTACTAGATCGTACCTCCCCAGAATGGGTGTAGAACCTGGCAAAAGCAAAAACGAGGCTGCTGGGAACATGGCAAAAGACATGAAGTCTGTCTTGGACGAAACGCGCAAAGCGCTATTTAAAACTGCGGAGCAGATGAAAGACAGGGCAGAGCGTAGACGCTCTAAGGCCCCTGATTACAAGGTCGGTGACCTGGTCTGGCTAGACACCGACCACCTGAAATTAAAAGACCGGCAGTCTAGAAAACTGACCGAAAAGTGGATTGGCCCTTACCGGATTAAGGAAGTCAAACCTAATGCGGTGGAGCTGGAACTCCCAAAACGAATGAGGGTGGTACCCACGGTTAACATTAGCCGTGTGAAACCCTACAAAGGACCGCTGCCGGGACAGCGTGTAGACCGGCCCAGTCCGGTGGTAGTCACCCAGGAAGGTGAAGAAGAGTTCGAAGTCGAACGGGTGGTAGATGCACGCTTGAAGCGTGGAAAATTAGAGTTCCTGGTCCTATGGAAAGGCTATGGAGACGAGGACAGAACGTGGGAACCAGAATCCCATCTGGAAAACTCCCACGACGCTGTTCGCAAATTTTATTCTAGGAATCCCTCAGCTCCCAGGAAGCTTAGAGGCATGGATTCAAACCTTTTTAATTCCCTCTTTCAACCTATGCCCGAAAATTTTACCACTACCTCCGGAATTTGGTCTCGCCTGGAAGTCGAGCCTTAGAAGGGGGGTAGTGTTACGATAACACAATTTCCGGACATCTCCTTTCCTTTTTATTCTCCGCTTTAACTTTATACTTTAAGTGCCACGCGGCATTTCCCTTTCTCGCGCCGTGTTGCCTTTCTTTTACTTTTAGACTTAACTCTCTCACGCAGTGGAGCTGGCCATACGGGCTAGGCCCTATGACATCATCAGCCACTGCCTTCATCAACTGTATAGTACACATGTACAAACAAACCTGTAGTAGTATATATACCCCAATAGATCCAGGAGACTCCTCAGCGAGTCCTCCTGTTGTATACCAACTAACTCACTGCAGCCCAAGGGGTACCCACTCCCCATCTTTCACTACCTTTATAGTGTGTTCCTGTGTGCGCCAGAGTAACTAACTCTTGGTTGTTACAATCAAGGCCTTTCTTCTATGCTGGCTAGCGGGAGCAAGTACTGGGGCATCCTTGGCACTGGAATTTTGGTATCTGGGCATTGGAGGCGTAGCTGCCTTGCCCTTGCTGATGTCAGTTGATATACCCCCAGACTTTTGAGCCCTCTCCAACAAGTGATTGGTCGGCGCAAAGTGAGTGTTTATGTAACGAAGGAACTCGGAACGTGATTGCTGTGATTTGGCCAAGGCTTTGTTGGAGGATTTCCTCACATTAACAAACAACATTTGAGGATGGTTTTTATAGCTGGGCACATTACTGGATAGCGTGTGTAGTGACAAATAAGAGTCGGTGTCAGAGTTATGCAGCTGCTTGGAGCCGGAGGACGAATGAGGCGACAATGGGGTGGTGGTGGAGGCTGCAGGAGTACTGCTAGGTTGGGGAGTGGATGTGACCGGCAAGTTACCACTATTGGTCTCACCGTCAAATGTGGTGAATGTTGCATCAAATATGTCTTCAGTCATTATTGAATCAAGGGACTCAACATACGTCCAATATTTGTCAGAGCTATTCAGTGAAGGTGGGCCTGTGTCGTTGACGGATGAGTTGGAGATGGGATTAGGAAACTGCAGGGTAATGTTGTTGACTTTGTGACAGTCCTTAAGTACCCTGGCAAAAGCAACATATAAAAACACATACCTGGAAGCTTCAGATGATCGGGAATGACAATGGACTCCCAGAAAGCTTTAAAACAAGCCTTGCAGAGCGTAGGTGCCACAGTGCTCTCAAATATATCTTGTATCAAGGAAACAGCATCTTGTACTGCATGACTCCACTCATTCTCTGAAACCGCAACTGTAAAAAATGATTCCCCGAGTCCTAAAAACCTCGATTTCTTCATCTCAAAGCAAGCCGAAAGACAAACACTATGATCAAATTTCTAGAAATTTGTGTGAACTAGAACGGTAAACAAAAAGTGTGAGGCTCACCATATTAACCCCAAGGTCCAGATAAGCTAATCGGTGCTCTGCTTCTCTGCTATGAATGGCACACATAGTGTCAGAAGTGGTAGTGATATTATCTGTTGTGATAGTAGTGGTAGTAAGAAACACCTAGGAGTGTGTCGTAAGGCAGTGACTGCACTTAACTTGGCACGTGTGAGTAAGCGTCAGTGTGATTTGTAGAGTTGGTGATAAGCAGCCATTGGCCAAACTAATTCTTCAGGAAACCTTTATCAAATTGGCTGCTCTGCTGAATAGTGAAAAGACAGCCCAAAATAGCTCGGAATTGAGTGTGACTGACCATAAGTGCACCATTCAGTGCCATGTCACAAGCTGGCCATTTCAGCTTATCGAATGAGTTGTAGACTATGTCCTGGTGTAGATATCCTGATATGACAAACACAAAAATAGCAAACCATCAAAAACCGTTTAGCAATTGACAATCCAGTACCACTCATACTATCAATATAATCAACATAAAATTGACATTCTTATTCATGTAAATGGTATCATAAACTACATCTGGTATCAAAATTCATTATATTGACATTCTTTGAAGGCACTCCTGCATCCTAGAAACCTCCTCAAATAAAACTTCATCTTCTTCATCGTCGCCGTTATCTAATTCTTGAGAATTGATGGTATTGTTGTGCCGTGCAGAGTTATTGTCTTTGATATCTCCAGAAAAGCCTTTGAGATTATAAATCTGCTGTAGACGATGGCGGTGAACATTGTTAACATGCTGACGGGTGAGATACATGGCATTAATTTCCAATGCAATATACTCATCACCTGCAGTACCCTCAGCCGTAGCAAGCAGATGTGCATCCTCAGCATTAACCCACTCATGCAGCCTCCTGATTTCAACATTAAGACATTTGATTTCCTCTTGCGCACGAATAACCTTGAAATATTTCACTGCCAGTTCACAATTTGATGGCACAGCCCATGGTTTCTTTAGAATGTCATGACATGAACGTTTCAATAGTTCAAATTCACCCAACCAAGCGTACAACACCACCTGGGAATATTCTAGGACAGGTACTGGGTTTTTTTGCTTGGCTGCAAGCTTGTTGTACCTGTCTAACGCAGTCCGAATGGCAGAAGACCATTGACTGATAGCTTTAGAGATATGCTGTCATAGCTTGTAACCTGCTCAGGTAATGAGGTGAACAAGTGAATGTTAGTTTTGGTGATTCTGCACCTTTGTGCTACCTATATATTTTCATTCCTTTCTCTATCTATTCTTCTATCATTCACTATTGATTGTGTTCTCTATTATTTCGCCTTTATGGCTGCTTTGTTTACCTTTGTTTACAAAATTTCGGACAGTACTGCAGAGTCCAATGCTTCCTATTCTCTAGTTACTCACATTGGACTCTAGGTACTGTATACCTGTCATACTCTCTAATAATATAGTTACTCACATTGGACTCTAGTTCCAGTCCCTGATTGCTCTCAGCAAGTGGCTAGACACTTCCTTCAAGCTTTGTTCTTAATAGGTTATGAGCCCTGTGCTCTAGCCATCTTCCTGACCTCATATCTCACCATCCAAGCGTCCTACTGCTTATCCATCGTAACCATTGTCTTCTGGGACTCTTATTATCTCATCCATCACCTCAGATTACTCTGATCTCATCTTGATCTCCAACAACAACTCCTTGTTGCAAGTTACCCCCATTTCGGACGCTTTTTTGGTCTTATCTGCACCATATCTCGCCCAATCCTTATCTGATCGTCCTGTAACTTCTACCATCGTCTTCTACGGCCTAAATAACCCTAGGAGACCTGTCAGAGCGGTTGGATTTGAGCTGGACCTTTCTGTGAGCCTTCATCATCATTTGACCACCTTTTGGCCCCCTATTCCATATCTCCACATCCTGTGCTTCACTTCTTGTGATATTTGGGCCATCTATTACTCTATAAATTTTTCCCTATACCTCTGAATTGGTGGCAATCCATCCATCTTATCTGTCTCTGCATCAATTTCGACTTTTTGCCCTATTTTTCGCTTTTTGGCATATCTAGTGTGTGCATAAAGCTCCAATCTTCTCTACTCTGTCCATTATCAGATAGAACAAGCCTATAGACTGTGAAGCTCGCCTGCATTGCCTCAGTTTGCTGTTGCCTAGAGCCTCTCTCAGTCTGTGGTGTTTGGGGAGCTTAAGTCACTTTGTTGACTCATATACAAGCCCTATTAACCAACACTGTCTCGAGGCGATTTCTCTGTTAATATCAGTGTGGAATTGAAAGAGGAACACAGGCGTAACCCTGTAGCAGCACTAGGAAGCCTTAGCACCCTCCTGGATCGCTTTTGGACGCTTTTTGGACCCTATTTGGACCTATCCTTGCGCTTTCTGACCCTCTCCATATCCTCTCTCTACCGCCTCACCATCTTATCTGCTCGCCTCCTACTGTTGCCCATTGTCTTTGCCACTATTCCATCGCCTATAGCCGTCTCCTACATCATTTATCATTGCTCTATTGTCTTATACAACACCCATCATGTCTGACTCTGATCCCAAGTTCCATCCCTTGTCTGGCACTAACTACCCCCAGTGGAGTGGTGAAATGCAAGCTTGGTTGATGACCAAGGGACTGTGGAGGCTCGTCTCTGGCGCTGAAAAGTGTCCTGGGACTGACGCTGAAGCAATAGAGAAATGGGAGTTGAGAGCTGAAAAGGCTGCTGGTGCATTATACCTCAATGTCACCAAAGAGCAGTGCATCCATCTTGATGGCATCATTGATGATCCTGTCAAGATCTGGGAGAAACTGGCAATTGTGCACGTCTCTAAGAAGCCTGGGACGAGATTTAATGCCTATGACGACTTCTTCTCTATCAGAAAGAAGGAGGACGAGTCCCTGCAGTCTCTCATGACCAGAATTGATGAAGGCATGCATCAGATTCAAAATCTTTGTCCTACTGGCTTCTCATTGTCTGAATTGGACGATGAATTGACATGCATGGCCATGATTAGGGCGCTTCCTGATCAATATGCCCACTTCACTTCATCTCTACTACTTCTGGGCACCTTGGATAAGACCCAGCTCAGGGATGCTTTCCTTGCTGAAGAGGTCAATCGCCGTCGTCGTGCTGAAGTCGATTCTGCCTTGCATTCTTCGTCTACCACTGCCAATAGCATCTGCACCCATCCTAACTGCCATCATTGCAACCAATCCACCACCTCTACTCGCGTTCAGTGTGATTTCTGTGGTTTACTTGGTCATACCCAAGACAAATGCCACAGATACATTGCTAGTCGCCAACAGGCAGTGGAGGGTGCTAAGAATCGCTACAAGCGCGGCAATAAGGCTCAGGCAGGCTCCAGCAACTCTCAGAATACCTCTCAGCAGCCCAAATCTTCGCCCAACAATGCCAATTCATCTACTGTGGTCACTGAATCAGCTGGGAATGCAAGTCTTCGTTCCATTCATCCCTCTGATCCTCATTGCCCTCTCCAACTTGATGCTGACATTGATTGGAATGCAGACACAGGCGCCACTTCTCATATGACACCTCATCGTCATTGGGTGCACCACTATACCCCATATTGTGTGCCAATCAAGCTGGCTGATCACACTGTTGTCTATTCAGCTGGTGTTGGTACTGTGGTGTTTAATCCTGTGATGAATGGCAAAGTGGCTAGGGCTGTGGAATTCTCTAGAGTGCTCCATGTACCAGATCTTCGAAATAATCTCCTCTCAGTCTTGTATTTAACTCGTCAAAGTGGTTTCAATGTCACTATTTCGTCTCATTCCATGTCCTTTATGCGTGACAACACTCTCTTGTTCACTGCAACTATCAATGATAACAATGCAGCATTCCTTGATGGATCTACTGCTACTTGTGTTGAATTGGGACATTGTACTGCAACTATACCACTTGATTTGATGCTCTGGCATCGCAGATTGGCTCACCACCATCATGCTGATGTCAAGAGACTGATACAGAGAGATCTGGTCACTGGGCTTACACTGGAATCCAAGGCTGCTCCTGATCCTGTCTGTGAACCGTGCTTGTCTGGCAAGATGCATGCCAATCCATTCCCCTCATCTGATACTCGCTCTGCTCATCCTTTGGACCTCATCCATTCTGATGTACACCAAGTCTCTTCCCCCACATTCTCTGGTTATCGCTACTGGGTCACCTTCATTGACGATCACAGTCGATTCCGTGTTGTTGTGCCTCTCAAGGCCAAGTCAGATGTCTTTGATGCTTTCAAGAGATTCAAGGCTTATGCTGAGACTCAATTGGAGCGTAAAATCAAGGCTCTGCGCGATGACAAAGGTGGAGAGTACATGTCCAAGGAATTTGAGCAATTCACAGATGACCATGGGATTGTCAGACAGCATACCACCAGGAATTGTCCTCAGCAGAATGGTGTGGCAGAGCGAGCAAACAGACTTCTGACTGAGCGTATCACTGCCATGTTATCAGAGTCTGCATTGCCTAACAGCTTCTGGGGTGAATGTCTGTCCGCTTTGGTGCATGTCTGGAACAGGTGTCCCACTGATGCAGTGGCCCATGCCACTCCATTTGAGTTGTGGTATGGATGCAAGCCTGACATGTCTCACCTTCGCGTTTGGGGCTGCACTGCTTATGTGCATATGCAAAAGGACAAAAGAGGCGTCTTTGGCTCTCATATGGAGAAATGTGTGTTTATTGGTTACCCTGAGGGGTACAAGGGATGGAAATTCTACAATCCTACCACCAAGCGCACTGTTATCTCTAAGAGCTGATTTTGATGAGTGCTACTTCCCTGGCTTGAAGAGGTCTTCTGACAATGTCCCACCTCCACCTCCCACTCCACCTTCGCTATCCATGCCATTGGGCCTGATTGAGGATGTCCCTGCACCAGGTCCAGGGGGAGATATGGGCCCACCAGCTGCACTTCAGCAGCCTCAGCCATTGCCTGACAATGGGCCTCATTTGGACCTTGATGCAAAACCACCTGTGAATCAACCTCCTGAGCTTCTGAAGGGACGTAGTTTTCAAACTGTACAGTTGTCATAACCCCATAACTTGCCCTATACAATAATGCATCAGTCATAATATAAACAAGAATGTATCAAGAATGCTCACTCAAGCTGGGTGACTTTTTCGAGTGCACCAATGTAAACTGGCACCCTTACCTCATAATCAGATTCCTGAGTAAGTCTTGTGAGATACTCGAGTTCTTCTGTTCTCCATTGCTCATAATCTGCACCAGTGAAACCACGAGTATCTCTGAACTTGTCAAGCTCTGGACCATACTCCTGAAGAATGGCTAACACTTGTTTATAGTTGTTCGAAAGAAAGTTACCTGCGGTGGATCAATATTGTGACATTCAGTAAATAAATTGATATCAATTGATACGTACTAAGTTCTTGATATTTATCTTGATCCCACTGATTGAAATGTAGGTCGAGGTATTGGAGCCAATGGAAATGTGAAGCATGTTGTATGACATGAGCTGTACTATTTAAGGATGAGAAAATCTGTTTGCACATCTCCATGTCTTCCAAACCAAAGCCTTTGAGATAGAGGGGGTGCTTAGTGAGTTGGCAGGTGCAATTGTGAGCATGGCCATAGAAAGAGTTGACAGCCATCATCAAGTTCTTCAATTCCGCTTGATTACTCAGGGAACTACGTGAGATTGTTTTTGCGAACGAGAAACCAATGTCGTAACCAATCACCTGGTTGGAGCCGAATACACTGAGAAGCTTATTCACAGTGGCTAATGCATATTTTGCACTGAAGGAACATATGAGTCAGATCATCTGACGTCAGGACCATATAAGCACCTACAGTTCTCCACTGTGTCGCATTTCCACTAGTGTCTCAACAATACCATGACGACAAGCCAATATGAATATGCCTGTTTGTTCAAATATTTTGATAGTATGATCATCGACTGTATTGGCTACAGTCCAATTATCTGTGCAAATGTCTGGTGGCTCTTCATCTTGATGTCCAAACAGCATTGTCTGTCTGCATAGATGAATGATCCTGAACGCCAGGTCAATTATGCACTTCATTCTGGAAAACATCAACATCTTCATTGCTTATAAGGTAGGGACTTTGGAATATGTGTTCGTCTGCAGAACTAGCACCATCACATCGTTTTGCCGAGTTGTTACCATCCATGCCGTGAATTTGTGCAGGGACTAGTGGAGGATCATCTGGCAACCGTAACATAATGTAAGATACTACAAAGCCTAGACAATAGAGAAGCACCTTGTAACCACAGGCCGGGCATGCAAAACAAATACGCCAGTCAGGACAATCCCTACCGAGTAGCTTGTTAACCTTAGCCCGAACTCTTTGCAGTATTTCTAAATATATGTCAAATGCAATTGATAACTGATCCCGAAACATTTGGACATACGTAACCTGGAAACAGTGTTATAAGTTAAGACAGTCACACGAGAAAGTATGAGTGGGATTACATTGTTGAGCGCACATAGAACTTTTGCCATTGCCTGGGTGCTGAAGGAGGATTGATGCCGTTTTATCTGATGATAAATCTCAAGTGATTCCAGGGATATAGCAACAAAGGGCTGTATAAGAGAACATCCAAGGAATTAAAGAGACATTGGCTGCTTCATTAGCTCCCTGAGAAACAGGTAGTTTGTCCACATAGCCTTGGAAGTATCAGCACGCTTGTACGTCTAAAAATGGGACACTTAACTTGTCATGTTGACTGCTGCAACCTCAAATTTAAAAGTTGATTGCATGTCTTCAGTTGGACGTTTATTGTACTTCCAACATAGATAAGCTTTGACAAGATCAGAAAGTTGATTCTGCCAGTGTTCATGCATACCACAATGTTGTTGTACGCGTGTACAATGATCGCTGCGTCTACGTCCAAAAGAAGAACCACACATACTAAATTACTGTAAGCTGCTAGACAACAACAGACATTAATCAACCAACCTTGTAATCATGCTTGCTCGGGCGCGTTCCACTGGATCAAACTTGTATTGACCGTCTAGCCCACATTCATCTTGAGAATCATGGTCATATTCTCGCTCTTCTGTAGGATTGTCAGTATAGCAGTTATACGAATCATACATACCATGCTCCTCGAGTGTCTCAGCAGGAACACCAATATTTTGCGCAATTTCTGAGAGCATTTTGTGATAAGGTTGATTCCTACCTAGAATATGCTGAACTGTGCACTGACTAGCCGGGGATAAAAGGCTTACTTACTTTTGAGCTCCTCTCAACGGCGGTGTTCAAATTCAACTTGGTCTTGATGAATTTTTGTGAGGGTCGACCAAGTAACATGTCACAGCCCACTGTCACGCAAGCTCGTCGTATGGATATAAGAAGAGGTGAGAAAAGAATACTTCTTGCGGCTCATAAATGCTCTGAATAATCAAGGATTGAGGCGCTGAGATGTTGATGTGATCGGAGTAAGGATGAGTTCACAGCAAACAGCAAGAAGAGGACTATGCAGACGGTGTTGAGACGACAATGATGGGGATGATAAGGCATGAGAATATTTGCGAGGAGTTTTTGGGTAGGTCCGGGGCGGGGCTAGCAAGAAAGTCGGAGTTAGAATTTAAGGGAGCGGCCAGCAGATGTGCACAGACTAGTCAACACATAGCGTTGTTTGGTAGTTCTATATGGTAGTTCTATAGCACGGAGAGTATACAATTAAACTACGAACTGACAAGGAAAAAAAATGGTCAAAATTTGACAGTTTTTGAGTGAAATGTTGTGCTTGTCGTTGTCGACGATGAGCACACATGTATAGGTAACGATGGAGACACTGAACACGGTCCGAGCGAAGCGTGAGAAGGAATTACTTAAGTCTCAGCTAGGGTTAGGACCACGCATTATATTGTCAACCTACAGTCTACTCTTGAGTGCTGCAGCTAGGATTGAGCCGCCTAATTAGTGAGGAGGTCACGCTACAGCCCATTTACTAATTAGTAAGATTTTTGGTGTCACATAGGTGGTTCCCTATCGATTACAATGCATTCTTATACTTCTACGGTAACCACGGGGATCAGCGAATGAGCAATGCCAACACTACAATAGCAACAAGTCTATCAGGAGCATTAAAGGAGAGTGTAGGATAGGATACATGTTCGCATGATGAAGGAGCGTGGTCAGGCGCCGAGCACCTGGTGAGCCGGATTGATTTGGACTTCTGCCTTGTTACATTCCCCCCTCCAAGGGTTGACAAAACCGGATAAAACCGGTCTCTGCCGAAGCAGCCATTGTTCTCCATGGAGTAACCATTGTTCTCCTAGGAGTCATTATACTGTAGCGAGTAGCACCTCCGACTATAAGTAGTAGGGGGTTTAGTATAGGAATACCTCAGTCGTTTCTATAGCCTCTCGGGCAGCGGCTGAGGTATGTTACATTACATTTATTAGAGATCACCTTAAACTAACATCTATTGTAGTTTCACTTAGGTAAATAATAAAGTCGTTTCTATAGCCTCTCGGGCAGCGGTGTCGATGATGAGAACTGCTGTTAGAAAACCACACACAAAACAAACTAACACACAATCCTCCCAGATTCCACGGAACTTCTTTATGGGCTTTGCCTCCTAGAACAGTGGAGTGGTCTGGTTGTTTGTGGGGTGGTACGTATAACAATCCTTCAAAGTAAAACCCAGAGATGTATGAGTGTGGGTTTTGAGGAGGAGGGATAGTTGAATTTATAGAAGATAGGGGCTTAGTGACGAGTATACATGAGCACTACCTTGCTAATTGTAGCACAAGGTAGGTTTGAGAACAACGAGGATGACGAGGTGACGAGGTTCCCAGTGATAGCAGGCTCCTGACGCACAGACTGTAGTGCTCAGAAGGACTCTAATTGAAAGGGATGACAATCACTTTCAAAAGCGACAAGTGACGATGACAGCAGTTGACAGTGGTAGCAGTGGGAAGTGTTGTGACCACACTGGATCACAAGTAGCAGAGTAGTGAACTTGAGAGTAGAGAAGAAGTCTGGATTGGAGTTCCTTTTTTTTTACAAGGTAAAATACAGGGGTTTATATAGTAAAAGAAAAGTAGGCTATACACAGTATAGCTGTGCAAAAAGAATGAGAAAGAACATGAAGGAAGGAATTTATGCTGACAAATCCTGTGTAAGTAGTACAGGATAAGATTGTCAAAAAAAGGAAAAGAAAGGGATAGAACAATGAATGCTGTGAGTAATGTCACAGGTTTGTACAGCCATAAAGTAAAGTCCAATAGCAAAAAGAGAGCAGGAAAATCATGGTGTCATGGGAAGATGCAGTAAAAAAAAAGGCAAGGCAAAACACTATCAGTATCAACATAGTTGCTTTATTGTCAGTCAGGCATTCTAAAAAATATGTGTCCATAAAAATGATTCAAAAATCAAAAATAATCGCACTGTCAATGAATGTTCTGCTGAAAAAAAAAGAAACTGGAGCCACCGGTCCACCACCTAGTCCAAATCCGACAGTTCCATGGCCTTACCAATGGACTGGTTGTGTTGGGCCACCTGATCAAATGAGGGACGGAGAGGAGTAGTTCCAATTTGGAACAAGTGAGTCCCAGGCAGCGTGTGATAGGTGTAGCTGTAGCGAAGATGATGGACAAAAGATAAGTGTACCCAAGTGAATTGGACAGTGATGTACATAGGCAATGCAAGGGGACAAACCTTCTCCAGCTCAAAAACTACCCACCCACACTCCAACCAGGCGAGACAAGTGACCAATGACTTGATAGTATACAATAGAAGATCAATGTCATGAAGATGGACCTGTTGCCTAATTTGGACCGGCTGCCGGGGCTTTGCTGATATCAGCAGTAGCACATGGTGGTCAACGGATTGGCGACGGAAGCGGATAGAGAGTGGTGACATCAGATATGGTGGGGGAGCAAAGAAAATGAGGAGGAGGAGGAGGGTGGAGGTGACGAGGAGGTGAACTAAAATGGGGATCCAGAAATAACCGTCAGGTGAGAATAAAAAGGAGAGGAAGGGGCCCATGGTGGGGCTAGGCAAAGGAAGGGGAGTAAGGGAAACGACAAAAGCGAGGGCGCAATGCAATGTGTAGCCAGTGGCGACGCAAAAATTTGCCGAAATGCCGAAACGCAGAAAGTACCGAATGGAAAAGCAAAGGTGAGCGTGACTGGATTGCCTAATAGAGGTGATGCTGATCAGCCACAAGTTCGAAAAAGGCAATATTAATGACTATTCCACGTGGCACTGTGCCTGTGTGGCGCAAAGGCGAGTCTTTTTGAATATTCGCTTCATTCTTAACACCTGTCCATGCTACCAATCAACTTTGGTGCATGACAGCGTGGAAACTGTATAGTATTTCAGGTAGTTTAAATATTACTCTCAATCTCCCAATTTTTGTTCCTTGAATACAGTCATTAGTATTATACATGCTTGTGGTCATAGGGTAAGAGAAATATTACCTTTTATGCCTGTATCCTCACAATCAGGAGAATTCATCACAACCACTGTGTTAAACTGCGACAATAGATTGTTTTTTCCGCTTGGCCTGGCTTTGACAGAATCTACCTGCATCAGGAAAACCCCAGATAGCTATTATAGCCCATATAGCACTATATAGGCTCTTATAGCTGGTATAGCTGGTATAGTTGGTGTAGACAAGTCCCTATTATATAGCTCTATATAGCTAGGTTTGTAACTATACCAGCTCTGATAGCTGCCTATAGTTTGTATAGCAAGACTGTGGCTGACAACAAAAAATCTGCCAGCTGTGGAAATTGAACCCACAACCACATGTTAACCGCTTTTTTGAGCTTACTAAGCATATACATACCAAAGCACTTGTAGGCTTACACAAAATAATATACCATGTACTATATATAATCACTTTTTGGACTTAGTGAAATTTCTGATAAGTTATTGGTGTAAGCTGCCTTGTATCTATGGACTTTGAAATAAGCAGCTACCTGATAAAGTACTTCCTATAGCACAACTAAGTAATATTCTGACAATTATTCTGATAATTATTTTGACTGGTTTAAAGATGCTTTTGTCAATTTCTTTTAACTATTTTCACAACTATTAGTAAACTATGAGAGTGGTCATAGATAGAGTCCAGCTATATAGCACTATAGGTAGCTATGAAAGAGACCATAGATATATTACCTGGTAATCAGACAATAAGTAGCATTTTTGATGTTGGGATCACTTTTATAAAATAATTGGACTCACACATAAGATTCCTAGAGTATATAGTAAACAATCAACATTTTAGTAAATTACTGACCTACAGCTGCTATAGCTCAAAATCAACTCTCATAGCTCATATAGCCTTACTACTGTACCTGTAAAGCTCAATACCAACTCCTATAGCCGGTATAGCTGGTATAGTAACCTGCCTAGCTATATAGCTATATGGTTTTTCCCAATGCTGGTCATTCTCCAGGTCAACATTGTTGTCTAGGCTATCTAAACAGAATTTGAAGCCATGGAAGATATCGAGGTTTTGAAATGGAAGGGGTAGTAATCTGGTTCCACGATGTGTATTTGGGTGAGTTAGTTTACTGTTAAAAAAGACTTTGAGTGCTGATTCAAATCCAGAACACTGATACTTCTCCATGACGTCCAAAATGCTTTGCTGACATTTATTAGGGTATTTTGCTATGACACTCCTTTGGTCTGGAATTTGGAGCGAGGGAATCTGTCTTCTTTATTATCCATGGTCATTCTCAGATAGCTCTGGAAAGCAACCACCTTTTCACGATGCAGGAGCCATGTCACCATTTGTGGTGCTTCATTTCTTTTATTAGAAGCCCTCCAACCATCTTTAGCAAAGTCAATATGGAAGTGCTCAAACATCTTGGTGTTGTAATTATTGGTGGTTCCAAACCATGTGATGAACTGGCAGTAGTGGAGGAGAGAGTGGAATTAAGGGATGTTCAGGTGTTCTCTTATGTTGAGTTGTACCAATATATTTTTATGTTTGTGGAAAGTGTCCAAAGCATCTGAAAGGTAGCCCAGAGTGGTGTCGTCATGAGTGGGATACTGTGCTATCTGGATGAAGTCCAAGAGGGGTCGGTATGCAAGTATAGCGCTCCTGGGTATTTTTCCAATCAAATATCCTAGCAATATATGGCCCATATCCTTTCTCTCTTCTCCTCCAATCTGGCCTAATGCAGAGATTCTATTTTTGAAATGACGAACACCATAATAAGCAGGAAGGGAGGAAATGTGCTGATCAAGCTCCTTAGGATCCATAAGATCCTTGCACCAGTTCACCATATGCTTAAAGATTCCTTGGTATAGTTGATGGAGAATATTGGGGGAAACAGATAAATGAATGTCACAATGAGGGAAGTTGAGCCAGAATGGCTTGTAAACACCACCAAAGACCTTTTTTTCCTTGCACCTCTCCTGAAATTAATTGGAGGAGTTTGCATTGACTTTAGCATCATGAATGACTTCCTCAGTCCAGGTCTGTCTATGTGGCTCCCCAGCAGTAGATTCTGAGAGCTCAGAAGCAGGTCTTTTGCATTCGGGACATGTGTCATGCTTTGTATGATAAAATTGGATAATGACCAAACCAGGGATTGAACCTGGAACCTTCTGGATACATGCCAGCTGCTCTACCAATTGAGCTATATGGCCAAGGTTACAATGTAGGATCTTAAACATGACATGCAACCACAGACGTCTTACACAGAATAGCTGCTGCATACTGGGCTGGCTTACAAATCAGAGGTATTATCCTATGGGGTATTGGTATGTCAGAGTATATTCTAACATTGTATATGTCACAAGACATTGTTCTGGATAATCTGCAACATAGCAAGCCAAGATAGGATGGACTCTCCTTATAGCACCATCTCCCCCTGTAACATTAATTTCTTCGATACCAGCTCTCTTCAAAGGCTCTAGTATAATCCACATTGACTCATGAAAAAGATGCTGAACTCTTGAAGACTTCTCCTTTACAGTAAACTGAGATCTTGTGGCTTTATTGACCGTCAGATATCCTATAAGTATGCAAGCATGTTGGCTTGGCTTATGACATATAGCTCTGGGTATGTTGCCAAGTGTGAGATAGACAGGGTAGGCTGATTTAGAATTAGAGAGTTGTGTGAGCTGGGTTTTGTCCATTGCAATGATAACAGGAGCCAAGGCTTCCCCAGATGGTAGCCGAGCCTATTCCAAAGATTTTGTAAATCACTGTAAGTTGGAGATACATAACCATGCTCACCTGAATAGCATGCCACCATTTTCCCGTCCACATTTCATGATAAATCCTTGATTCTTTCCTCGCATTGGTGAAAATCTTTATTGGGCAATAGACTACATGTTTGGCATGTGCAGGGTTCCCAAGGAGAGTCCTGATGGCTGAAAGTACATCTCTATACTAAATAAGGTTTGTATCATCCAGAGTATCAGGAAAAAATATGATAGTTTATTTCTATTCAGCCCTAAATGGTATGCTGTAGTCAACAATCTTGTGTAATCTACGTATATTAAGGTAAGAAAGCCCCAGCTTCTCCCTGACCTGGCAATAATATAAGCAAGATTCATAAAAATCATGAAATCACTGACACCTGGGATACTTAACAGCCAATTAAAAGACTGGTGCCCTATACCATCTTGAATTGCCCAACATGCTACTCTCCAATCCGTCTCCGAGGCAAAGGAGAAGAACTTGGGGTCTGAAGCTTCACCCATTTCTACGTCTTGACCATCCCGACCTGCTGCAATGGATTCTCTTCTCCACCTCTGATGTAAAGTCTCATCCATGCTTATGACCTTGCCAGCTGTGGGATGTTCTACCTCCATACATTCATCCTCATTGTCATCTAGGACTATTGAGTTCTGATGAAGGGATGGGCCTGCTGCATTCTCCCCATCATCAATAATGTCAGAATGTGCGATTGGAATGAATGAAAAAAGATCCTCTTGCAACTCCTGTAGTACTTCGCCAATTGCCTCCTCCATATGCTCATCATCTATTAACATGTCTAATCCACTAGCTTCCTCTCCATTATCTTCTTGTGGCTGTGGGATAGCAAGTGATCGTGACTTTCCTTTGTGGTACCACAGGCATTTTTTTGCAGAGCCAAGATGTGTGTTAACAGCATGAGCTGTTGCAAATGACCTTCCACATCCAGCAGGACACATGTAGGGAGCGTCTCTGTTAACCAGTATACAATGATGATATATAGGCAAGGACATAATAGAAGAAATGGGAGTCTGAATTATAATGGTCCTCCGAGTCACTGATAAAATGAATCTGTAATAAGTCTTGCTATTTTGGGCAATGCAGCAGTTACAATCATATGTTGTCCATTCATGTGCTAGTTAAAGTATAAAAGAAACAAAGTAGAAAACAACCACCAGTATAAAGAACACAATTCAACATAGAGTCCCATCAGCTGAAAAATCTGCTCGTGGAGGGGCACTGAGTTTTTCTCCCTGTCCTTAAGCTCAGCCAGTGCATGGACACTTCTCCATTTTGCTGGTGGAAGAGCTTTGGGATTGGTGGGGTTGTCAGAGCTAGCACTCATCAAGACTAGGTCAGGACGCCATTTGCCACCACCGTCTTCTACTGAACGGATTGAGTTGGCAGCAATCCACCATCTCAAGGAGGCAGTTGCCCTGCTCGGTAATGCAGAGTAGACCTTTAGTACAATGTTGTTAAGGAATGCCATACACTCATCCTCCAAACCTGGACTCCATGGTTTTGTAAAGTCTGGGCAGCCACTCATTGTTGTCCAGGATCTATCCTCGGTGCTGTAATAACCTGCATCACATAACAAAACCAACATGTTGTATAGCATGGCTTTTGTCCCATATTGACCTGTGAAAATGTGAGATAAAGGGAAAATTACTGGGAGGAAATCCTCTAGTGTGCAGTACACTTTAAGGGGTGCAGCCTCTTTCTTCAAAAGGGGGTCCATAAACCTATGAAAACATTGTGTTGGGCCTTTTATAGCAAACCCACTGAACTAAATAGCAAAAAGACAACGGCTAGGGAGTCAGTATGGGGCAGCAAAGTCAAGTGAAGTACACATACCTTTGGATGTGTGAAAGGTGTGGTGCAGCGGAGCAGCAGTGGCTATTGGAGTAGTTTATAAGCTACCCAGGCACAATGTGATCAAAAAAGAGACTTACCAAAGCATTTGGAGATGAGGTGATGACAGATGTTGATCCAGTAGTAGACATCTCAGGGATGAAGCTGTTTCAATAGGGTGGGTGAAAGCTAGTAAAAAAGGAAGAAGAATTATCTACCACCAGCATATTCACTATTCTGCCTTTGCCATCTCCAGAGGGAGTTCCACATCGAGCTTAAATTAACCCAGACATTTCCCATGTCTGTGGGAGGACAATTGGCAGTGTATCCATAGAGTTTTGGCTTTGGCATTACATCCTAGAAAGAGAAGTGCTTGAGTGCACGAGCACTTCCCATATGTAGTAGTGGAGAGTTTTTGGCAGTATGTCCCAGAAAAGAAATATTTTGATTAGATTAGATTCTGGGTGTTTCCACTATACAAGAGGCTTCCACTTTTTTTTGAATTTCGACCAGAGTATAATAGAAAAAGGGGAAAGATCGAGATACTCTACAAGTGAGCGAGCTACATGTTTTTTATATCTAATCTGCTAGTCTGTGGCATGCCCAGAGCCTGTGAAACTGTTGCATATACATACCCAATGTTCTAAAGCCAAAAGTAGGGCTGTAGAATGATTGCTGAGGTGGTTGATGAGTTTGGGGAAGTATGTTCACTTACATCTTGGAGCTATCTTGCCCACATCCTGCAACTTCTCATCGTCTTTTCGCAATATGGGAGTTATTCTGTGAAATTGAGCACCTTTACTGGTATATGCTGCTGCAATTGGTGCTCGTGCAGTATGTCCCAGAAAAAAAAGTGCTCCAGCACTTGAGTGACAAAACTGGATAAACCCGGTCTCTGCTGAAGCAGCCATTGTTCTCCTAGGAGTCATTATACTGTAGCGAGTAGCACCTCCGACTATAAGTAGTAGGGGGTTTAGTATAGGAATACCTCAGTTGTTTCTATAGCCTCTCGGGCAGCGGCTGAGGTATATTACATTACATTTATTAGAGATCACCTTAAACTAACACCTATTGTAGTTTCACTTAGGTAAATAATAAAGTCGTTTCTATAGCCTCTCGGGCAGCGGCTGAGTTTCACTTAGTTTTATTATTGAGCACCCCCCTTTCTGGGACATACTGCCAACTGCCAACTACCAAGCCATGAAAGTGTCCGTATCTGAAACTGAGGTATTGCTCCGTATCCTTGACATGCATACCCATGACTTGGAACTTCTACTTCAACTGCTCAACAACAGCCCAAACCTACCACCAAACCTTGTGAATTTCCACCCATACTTATCTGTACTGGTCACTTATGGATTATTATCACGTTCTGTGCTATTTGTGGGTCAAGGTGAACACACCAACAATCCTATCCCTCAACAGGAACTTTCTTCCTGGGCGGCAAGCCAGAATACTACCTATTCCAGCAATGTGGACAATTTGAATGCGACAAATCTATGGGATGAGCTCCTGCCCTGGCAGTCTTCACCACAGAACTTGAACTGGAACCGCTCTCTTCCTGCTACAATCAATGAACCTATCAATGTCTCCCTTTCCACACCTCATTCTTCCATATCCTTGCTTCCATCACCTCTCATCGCTACCTCTTCACAATGTCCCATTTCTGACTTCTCACTTCCACAGGTTGATATGGGATCACCGCCTTCGCAGTGCATACCAAGGACTCAGATGGCTACTGGTCAACATGAGATAGATAAAGCAAATTTAAATGCTACAGCACCAGTATCAGCATCAGCAACATGCCACTATCGCTTGAAAAAAAAAGAGAGTTACCGCTGCAAAACTGGGGGGAGAATCCTATGACACTGCCAAGTCCCAATCTCAATCAGCGTGTCCAAGGGGGGGTGTTGCATTTGCCCTATCATGGAGAGAGATGGCGGAAGTGTCTGGAGAAGACGGTGTCATGCACCAAAATTGGTAGCATGGACAGGTGTCAAAAATGAAGTGAATATTCAAAAAGACTTGCCTTTGCGCCACATAGGCACAGTGCCATATGGAATAGTAATTAATATTGCCTTTTTTGAACTTGTGGCTGATCAGCACCACCTCTATTAAACAATCAAGTTGCACTCACCTTTGCTTTCCATTCGGTACCTTTGGCAATTTTTTGCATTGCCACTGGCTACACATGGCATGGTGCCCTCGCTTTCATTGTTTCCTTCACTTCCCTTCCTTTTCCTAGCCCCACCATGGGTCCCTTACTCTCGTTTTTATTCTCACCCGACGGTTGCTTCTGGATCCCCATTTTAGTTCACCTCCTCGTCACCTCCACCCTCCTCCTCCTCCTCATTTTCTTTGCTCCCCCACCATATCTGATGTCACCACTCTCTATCCGCTTCCGTCGCCAATCCGTTGACCACCATGTGCTACTGCTGATATCAGCAAAGCCCCGGCAGCCGGTCCAAATTAGGCAACAGGTCCATCTTCATGACATTGATCTTCTATTGTATACTATCAAGTCATTGGTCACTTGTCTCGCCTGGTTGGAGTGTGGGTGGGTAGTTTTTGAGCTGGAGAAGGTTTGTCCCCTTGCATTGCCTATGTACATCACTGTCCAATTCACTTGGGTACATTTATCCTTTGTCCATCGTCTTCGCTACAGCTACACCTACCACACACTGCCTGGGACTCACTTGTTCCAAATTGGAACTACTCCCATCCCTCCCTCGTTTGACCAGGTGGTCCAATACAACCAGTCCATTGGTAAGGCCATGGAACCGTCGGATTTGGACTAGGTGGTGGACCGGTGGCTCCAATTTCTTTTTTTTCAGCAGAACATTCATTTACAGTGTAATTATTTTTGATTTTTGAATCATTTTTATGGACACATATTTTTTTGAAATGCCCGACTGACAATAAAGGAACTGTGTTGATACTGATAATATTTTTGCATTGCTTTCTTTACTGCATCTTCCCATGACATCACGATTTCCTTGCTCTCTTTCTGCTATTGGACTTTATTTTATGGCTGTACAAACCTGTGACATTACTTACACAGCATTCATTGTTATATCTCTTTCTTTTCCTTATTTTGACAATCTTATCCTGTACTACCTACACAGGATTTGTCAGCATACATTCCTTCCTTCATGTTCTTTCTCATTCTCTTTGCACAGCTATACTGTACATAGCCTACCTTTCTTTTACTATATAAACCCCTGTATTTTACCTTGTAAGAAATAAGATATCCAATCCAGACTTCTTCTCTAATCTCAAGTTCACTACACTCTGCTACTTGTGATCCAGTGTGGTCACAACACTTCCCACTGCTACCACTGTTAATTGCTGTCATTGTCAGCAATCCTCCTCTTAGGTGTGCTGGGGACATCACCAATAAGCTGGGAAATACTAGGGTCAGGACGACTGAGTGATGAAACCGGCACTAAGTGCATCTGCAATGCCAAGGATGGCGGAAGGTCCTGTCACCTTGGTATGAAGGCACTTTGATGCAGATGCAGGAGTGGGTGATCCAGAAGCTGCATGTTTGCATTTTAATCTCTGAGACACTTCAATAGAATCCTAGAAGAGTAGTAGTGAGGTAAAGTCAACATCAAGCCATATCACATACCTGAGACTTTTCTTCCCCATCCAAGTCTAAATCACTCTCTGGATGACCATCCGCTGTGCCCACATCATCTTGATCCACTTGCTCCTTATAAGGATGAGGCAAAGGCAAAGAAGGCTCACCAATCTCTGGGATATAAAAAGCACCCTCACCAGTGGCATAGTGTCCATCAATGAGTCTGATTATATCATTGTAGAGCGGTAAAGGGTTTGTACGCCATGGTTTTGCTTCTGGATGAGGCTGAGACAGATCTAATTGAGTACATCTCATACTAAACTATTGACTCTACACTTACTGCAATATAGTTATCCCACACATCTTCTTCAGCAGTTACTTTCTTTCTGGTATCATCCCATCCAAAACCAGACAGCTCTTGAAGCTGCTGAACAACAAGGCACATAGCCTTTAACTGTGATGATAAAAATCAATACAATATATGTTGTACAATGGTTGACTTACTGTTCCCCAACATCGGCTATAATTTGTAGATATCTTTGGTGCACCACCACTGGTTTTATGACTCTGCACTAGCACAACAGCTGTAGCAACAAAAGCTGGTTTTTTGAAGTTATTGTCAGGTCGATTGCCTTCCATTTGTGCCTCCTTCAATTTATCCACTAATGTGGCATCATCCTCTGATGTCCATTTTGCGTTTCAGGGCTCTTTTGGGGCTGAAATCTGAGATTGTTGACTAGGAGATTGGTTCTTTTTGTTGGCAAGGAGCCTGTCTTTCATAGATGAAATCTTGAGTGTGAGCTTTTGAGAGGTCATTGGGGGCTTTTGAGGTGGTTTTTAGAGTGATAGAGCAGTGTGAGGTACTGTAGTTTGAGTGTAAAAGTTGGGAACACAATTTGCAGCCCGGTGTGACAAAGTTTTTTTGAAACAAGCTGAGTTGCCAAACATGTCAGCTCGTTCCAAAATGGCACCGTTTTACAGCTAATTGCAGATCGTTAGACATCCCGGTGTGAAAGATGTGCACTTGGAGTTGAAGTGGGATGAGCGGGAAGTAAATTCTTTTAGACTTGTAAGACTAATCTCAGAGTCTGCCCGAGGTGCCACAGCTACGCCAACCAGACTTACAGCTAATTGCAGAATGTTAGACATGTCAGCATAGAAATTGCATACAGGCAGACTTGAAAAATAGAAATCCCCGAAAGGTCAGGAGACTGTATCTTAAGTCTGGTTGGCATAGCTGTGGCACCTCAGGCAGACTCTGAGATTAGTCTTACGAGTCTAAAATAATTTACTTCCCGCTCATCCCGCTTCAACTCCGAGTGCACATTTTTCACACCGGGATGTCTAACAATCTGCAATTACAGCTGATTTCATAACAATAGACCTATCCTATGAGTTAGTGTGCAGGCGGACTTCAGCGGAGTGTATATGTATATTTTTGGGAAGAACCCAAAGTGTCTGGGAGAGACTAGTCAACCCTCGACCAACATGCGGCACCATATTCCCAAGGAGCAGAAGATACTAACGTATGAATTGTCTTGCATCCATGGCCTCTCAGACAGACATGTTAGCCATTACCTAGGAATCAGTCAACGGACCATCAGGCGCATCCGGAAGACCTTCCGGGACACTGGTGAAGTGGGACACCAACTAGCTTGTCAAGGACGGCCTTGTGCCCTTGATGGCTTGGAAGCGAGTGTCAGTTTTTTCTTTTATTCTTCTGATGTGCTGATAAAACAAGTTTTTGATTAGTTCCTTGAAGGCTGCATTGAAAGACAGCCTGATATGATCCTCTCAGAGTTTCTAGATTCCATTTTTTTCTTTGGCGAGCACTCCACCGAATAGTCTACACCAATTTTTTCAAAGACTTGGCTATCACACTTATCACACCAGCCACACTCGGTACTGAGCCAAATATTCTAGTCTCCCTAAATTTCAGATTTACTACATTTTAAGCTCATTTGTAGTTTTGCTCTGTACACTAACTCATTGGACAGGTCTATCGTTATGAAATCAGCTGTAGCTGTAAGACACAATCTCCTGATCTTTCGGGGATTTCTATTTTTCAAGTCCACCTGTATGCGATTTCTATGCTGACATGTCTAACGTTCTGCAATTAGCTGTAAAACGAAACGCGACTTTTTTGGCGGGCGACGTTTTGAAACGGTGGCTGCCGAACGGGCCCTTAGTAAGTAAGTCTCGTATTGCATGTAGTTTTGGGGGGTCCCGACGTTATGCGTTATGAGACAATCAACTATATTCCCAAACTAGGTATACCTAGTATCAGTGCCGTTACGTCGATACAATCAAAATGCGACATTGGGAGAAGCACAACTTGAATCAAGAAAACAACCAATACAAATACACGCATGCCATTGGGGAGATAGTACCTCACTTACGTGAATTGGTTTATCATTTGGTGCAGCTTTCCAGAGTCCAAACCCGTTGACCGTGGCTCAATGTGACACGCAAACGGGGCCGGACGACTTTCAGAACGTCACAGTGCGTGGTGAGCGTGGGGTGCACTAGCAGAATGATAAACGTCAAACTCACACTGTCAACCCGTATGTCCATTGCGGTTCAACATTGATCTCTCGTCCTTGGCTATCTTTGGCTTTGGTGAACTTGAAGACTGCGAGAAGAGACACGATACCGGCCCAAACGCTTGCATCAGCTACGTGCTTTCCGACACACACGCGCCTGCCAAATCCGAATGCATAAGGAACTGTGTCGTCGTTGAGTTTGTCGTCTGCCGAAAGGAATCTCTCCGGGATGAAGTCTGATGGGTTAGAATATTTGGCTTCATTTCGTGACATTGTCCTAGAAAGCGTTCAGATAGACATTATAAAGACAGTATGCAACATACCAAGCGTTCGCAATTACCACCGCTCCTACAAAAAGACGTGAGAAACCTTTCAGTAATGAGAAGGATGGAGGTATACCTCCTGGAATATGATATCCTTCATAAATGTCGTCATTTACAGCAGCGTGTGCAAGGCCTGATGCGAATGCACCATCAGCAAGAGTTTCCAAAGCACGATAAAGAGTCAACCTAAGGGTACAACAGGACGCCATCTATGCGTCTCGCGGAGTACAGCCTCAACGTAAGGCAGAGAGTTACGATCTTCAAAATTAGGTAACCTATGCTTGTCCACAACAGAGTCGATCTCTGCTTGGGCTCGTTCTTGGACTTTTGGGTAAAGTACCATCGCAAGGATGAAGTCAATGAGAGTCGTAGCCGTCTAGTTACACACGTTACAAGGTCATGATTGACTCGAGGTTGAAATTTACTAACCGTCTCTGATGCCGCTGGAAATAAAATAAATGAAGACGATGGATGATACGCCATTATAGGACACTTACCAGAAAATGAAGTAGCTGCAGTGCCCTTCATTATTTTCTCAAGCTCGTCATAATTGGGGGCGTCTTTGATTCCATTAAGAATATCAGAAACCATGCTAGATATAGCTGGGTTTGAGGTCTTTCAATAGGTTATGGGCAAAGAATCAATTCGAGATTGATGAAGTGCGCGGACCATTTGACTTTTTGTGTATTGAAATGGCTTTTCGACCATCTCGTTCAACATATCTGGATATCCTCTGGCAAGTCGTTTGAAACTTAAGCCAGGAAACCAAGAAGGGAGATACAAAACTACCAAACACTGGCGTTATGGTATATTTGTGACAGGTTTCGAGTAAGCTTACGAAAAGGCCAGGACGTCAGGATCGCGGAGGCCTCGGGAGTGAAAGCCTTCAGCGCTTTGTCATTGACGGTCTCGACAAGGGAAACTAAAGGATCACCGTGACGTTCTGTCTCATACCCGTAGGTGATTGACATTATAATAGAGGCGGCCAATCTAACGAACAAATTTGAGGGGGCTAGGTCAATCGGTTAAATGTGTTTCTGTGGGCAACTCACGCCTCTATGTGGCGCACAAAATCCTCAGGCGTTTCAAGCATGTCAACCAGGAGCTCATGGATTTTGCGCATCTGTAAAGGGCGGTAGGAAAGAGCCGCAGACGACCGTAAACTTTGATGATAGAATCGCCTGTGTTGTCTCCATGTATTTCCGTAGCGCATCAGCGCTGCGTTGAGGGACGACCAGCCAAATCTGTGAAATTCAGAGAGATGGCCAACACGCTACGAAAAGCACTGACAGCTCGTTCGTGACGATGATAGGCCTATCTGAATAGTTGTATGATCGTTTTTCGAGAAGATCTCTTGCTATTTTCTCCGAGTTGATAACAACGACGTGTTGTCTGAAAAGGCAGCAGTGTATGATATCGCCTTCCGAATCAGCAGTCAGGTGTGGAAGAAGAACAACATAACTAGAACGAATGTACCGTAGGTCTTGCCCCATTTCTCATAGGTAATCCACGGTGCAGTAGAGTTGATTTCGAGTGTGTTACCCAGGATAGGAAGCGATGAAGGGCCTGGAGGAAAAGACAACGAGTTATTGCCTCCTCGTCTCCGGGCAAGACGCCTTATAGACTCCAACAGCACAAGAAACAAGAAAGCCAGGACAAGCGAGAGAGTACTCGACCCTTGAAACATGATTTACGGGGTTGGAGGGATTGCGAGGTAGCAGATATGAGCGTGTTATATGGACACCAATAGTACTAGGGTCAGGTCAGCTGGCACGTACCCTGGTGCATACTGCCCCTTGCTCTGATCCTGGCTTGACGGAATTTTTGCACGCGTGCTATCGGAGAGGGAGCTCCCAGCAAGTTGGAGATGGTGTTATGGGGATATGGATCGTCACATTCTCCATAGAAGGCCTCAGATAGGCTTTGAATATACTACCTTTTGCACTAATTATAGCGTCAGCCAATGATATAAAATATGCTATCAGGTAAGGATGTGCCGATTGGGGCTGGAGGTCCTCTGATGACATTCAGCGGTTCCACTACCGTACAGTGATTAGACATGTGGCTCTGGAATGTGTACAGTATGCTGTAGCTTGAAAGGTTCGTATCAGTTCACAATTATTCAACGAGTAAACAACGTTGGCGATAATACCAACCTGTATCACTTGGCTTCTTTCAAACAAAACATTTCGGTAGGACAATCACGCATACATCTCACGAAGAAGACTTATGGGCAAGTCTCGTTATCGTATGCCACATTGGTATACGGCGCACAACCAAAACCTGTTATCGGAGTGTACTGACAGACAAATACTGTTATCTGTGAGGTCCCAGAGTTCACATATTATAGTACATACTACGTCACTTGTTTGCGAGTTTTCTTATCCGCCCTATTGTTCTTGAACAACATAGGAGATCCCACGAGAAGGATGGAAGTTTTCAAGAAAGGAGAATATAGGCAGCGAGAGAAGACCTAGGTTTTCATTTGGCCTTGTCAGAATTGGATCAGTAGGATGCCATGTGTCCGTCCCATAAGTAAACCTAGCCGTATTCGTCAACTTGTCCGAAAATGACAGCATCCGCGATAATAGCAAGTCATACCAGGAACGGAATTTTAGAGTTGCTGTATTCATATGGTCAGATGATGAGATTGAGGATAGACAACGATGAACCGTCCCTCCGCCATATAGGTCAGAATAAGCAGCATCAGTGAGATACAACGCGTCCCATTCAATTGAACCTAGTCAAATTCGCCAACTTCTCTGAAAATGACAACATCAGCGATGATGGCAAGCTATAGCACCAGCTATCACCTATACCAAGTTTAAGAGTTACATCCACCTTGCCACGGTCATATGGTCAGATGAAGTACGTACTATATCGACTGATGAAGCACTGTCAACGCACCTGAGAAGATGATGGACAGGATAGGTCGAGGAGACAATGGAGTTGAACGAACCCTCCCATCCGCCAGCGATGACCAGAAATGATTCATCATCCTTACACCGAGTCACCTACCTAGCTAGGCTCGGATGACGACAAGGGTGGTACTCAACCTATTCTCCAAGTTTGTCAGACCCCCTGAACATTCAGAAAAAGACCTATGGAAATCGTTGATTCTTTTTTTTTTTTTTTAAATCTTGCGTGGCCCGCTTTCCGACGATGACCAAACGACCATCATCATGATAACAGTGATCATTGATTTTCAAAGCGTTGACATTTCAGACTGTTCAAGCAAAGTGGCCGATCATCTGCTGCAGCTTCTCAGCCGTCATACCCTTCACTCGCGGCTCGATATGACACGCGAACGGACGCGGTCGACTGTCGGTCGAGTAGAGAATTCAGCACCAGGTACCAAACACCCCCCAAGGTATAAAAAAATAAAAAAAATAAAAAAGACACAACCGCTACCCACACCCCCGCATCCGCTACATACTGCCCCACGCAGATCCGTTTCCCAAAACCAAACGCGTAGAGCACCTTGTCGTCGTTCAGTCCTCCGTTGGCGGTGAAGAATCGTTCGGGGATGAAGTCGGAGGCGTTGGATTCGTTTCTGGACATGGCCCCGGAGAGTGAAGGGTCAGAGTGAATGAGTAAGGTGGGATTGACGAGCGCACCAAACGTTGGCGATCACTGTTGCGGCTACAAACCACCCACATCAGCCTAATCCAACCTACTGTACAACAGAGAAATGGCCACTGACATTTAGGTATGTACAACCCCTCATAGACGTCGTCATCTACGGCAGCGTGGGCAATGCCTGGTGAGAAAGGCCAGTTAGTAGTGTCGATAGGTGCGATACCACACGCATAGTGCTAGTACTCACCCAAGGGAAGAACAGGATGCCATCTGTGCGATTCGCGAACCACAGCTTCCACATAGGGCAGCGAGAATCGATCCTCAAAGCCTGACAACCTGTCATTACCAATGACATTAGCGATCTCGGCATGCGCCCACTCCTGGACGTGGGGGAAGAGCATCATAGCGAGGACAAAGTCCAAAAGAGTCGACGTGGTCTGGCGATGAGGGTAATGTTCTGCATTTCAGACATGCGCGAGTGAAAAAGTTTGAAACACACTCACCTACTTTTTCCGAGCTGATGATGATGACGTCAGGCAGGGTGGTCACTGTGGAGGTCCCCACTGACGTGACTGTGGAGGTACTCGCGAGTATAAGGGTGGTGTTGTGAAGAGTGTATGCAGCGATGGACGAAGAGATCAGCGCCATCCTCGTCATCTTCGCCGTCTCTCTCTTTGGTGCGTAGAACCCTCTCTCGCCCAGTGCTGCTAACAGGACACCCAGCCTCGTCCCTCCCGTCCCTCTCCAACCGCATCTCCTTTCTCCGCATCCCTCGCATCGTCTTTTTCATTGGAAAGCACTTTGGCACAGGTACCCCTTTTCACCTCCCTCTCCCTCTCCCGCTCATCTCCCACAGGCGTCATCCTCTCCACCGCATTCGTCCATCTTCTCCAGGATGCATTCCACGCCCTCAATCATCCTGCCGTCCTCGCCCGCTGGCACATAGCCAACTACACCGGTCTCGTCGTGTACGTTCCCCCCTCTCTGCTCTGCCC